AATCCAATTATTTCTGAGCGTCTCAAGATCTCGCCGCGACACCTTTACATTTATCACACGTGTTTAACGCAAATAATTACATTCGCGCTAACTTTTAAAAATGTTGTTTTTTCCATATTAAACAGAAACTGAAAAGACTACAAAAGACTTACGCCTTTTAAACAGCAAAAGGAGACGTTGCACGAACGCAGATAATGAATTACTATAACGAGCGTCTGACGGCGCGGATTCGAGATATCGAATCGACGTTATCTAAGGGATGCACGCCCATCGGACGGCGCAATTTTCTTGGAAACAGAACTCCTTCATCCGGTGCTTGTCGTCCCGTCGGGCACGTGGAATTGTAAGATAAACTTTCTATCGTCCGAGATACTGATATTCCGGCTCGTCTTTCGGCAGGAAGCACGCCTCTCTCCCCGGCGTCTTTTCCCCTCTCGGCCGCCGTCGATTGCGGGGCCACGGGCCACGGCAGCTCAAAGCGCGTAAAATACCTCACCGCGAACGCAGGCGTTTGATGACCTCCGCGATAGCACCCTGGAAGCGCGGATAATATATTTCGAAGAGCGAGCAAAGGGAGAGCGAGAGCACCCAATAGACGACGGCGGATTCTTTGAAATTCGTTCGCTCATGTTGTCATTATGCGTACTCTGAAAATGGCACACTCGCATCGGATCTCTCTTTCTTCCTCCCATCAAACGAATTCTCCCTTTGACCAGTTCTCGTGAATGGAAATCGCGAACAAGATCTGGGTTCCCTTTCTTTCTTGTATTTTTTTTCCATCGAGCGCCCTGTGCACAGCAGTTGCGGCACTTTGCAGCGTGGTAACTTTGTTCCCGATCGCTTTCGCGATTCGTTTTACCAGCAAAGAGTCGAATAAGGAAATAGAAACATTGTAATATTAAAACAAGTATAAAAATTGTTACTTAATACTGCAGAAAGAAATTAATTAACTTTGAATAACAGAAAATAATGACGATTTTTCCTTTTGACGGTATGCGACTGTTTATTTATCCAATCTTATATCTCATATCTGCGAGTTTAAAAACAAATTCCGTGTTTATGGCCCGCAAAGGACGTATCTAAGCTTCAAACGGCGGATTCTTGAAAATAGAAAACAACAGTGCGTGTCACAATTGTCTTCGTCGTTCGGGACACGTCGTGTTGTCCGTCTTTTACTTCCCATTTCTCTCGTTCATGCTTCCCCAGAGCAAGAGCGAGCGGTTGCACTTTACCCTCGCTAAAAGGGCGTCAGTGTTCGCCGGGTTCTCGCGTTTCCTTGCCTTTGCTTCTTTTTATGCTCCTGTACTTCCCGTTTTTCTTTTTTTTTTTCTCTCTCTCTTAATAAACGCGTCTTATGTATATGCGTCCTGTCTCGGCTCAGCCTCTCGGGAGCAGCGGTTCTCAGGACAAGCCTCAGAGCCGCGAAAACGTCCTGAGAGCGTGAACTGTTTATGGCACTCGGAATGTCTAAAAAGTGGTACGATGAACACAATTATTTGCGCCCAACAGCGCCAGCGTCTCATATAAAGACCGTAACATACGTGAGACACTCGGTACCTTCGTGAAAAACCTACGGCGATTCGTGCGCGCGGATAATGCAAGAGAATGTTGAAGGATCGGTTGAGATACGCAAGGTGGCGAATTTTTCTCTTTTTCATGCACACGCGAGTTTCGTCGTAAATGATGGGTCACGCATAATTCATGTCCGCGTGGTTTACCAGCTGCGAGCCGCGTGATAAAGTGCGCATTCTACGTGCACGCAATGAATTATGTATTCGCGCTAGGAGCCGTTCTAATTGATACAGGAAGTTTCTACTGCAAGGGGGAGAGTAGCGTTGCGAGAGCCTTTTGGGAAATTAGAAAGGCTCGAAGAAAAGCTCGATATATAAGTGTTACTATTATTATTCCGTTTGTGTGTGTGTGTGTGTGTGTGTGTGTGTGTGTGTGTTAGCA